ATTAATACATAATTACATAATTACCTTATCACATGACTCTCATCAAATAATTATCTGTGGCCTTTAAGCAAGATTTCTGTGCTCTGAGAGTTTCATAGAAATGATTAATCGGTTAGGAAATTTTTTTTCTTAAAGTGAAGGATTATTTACTAGACTTTGGTAGCACCAAGTAACTCTAGTTAAAATGCATTTCACAAGGGATCATTTGGTTACAGAAATGCTTCCAATTCTCTATCCTTTCTTATACCAAGTACTTTGCAATGTGGCTTTGCAACTCTTCTCCTGAAAAGGTAGACTGTCTCTTCTCTTCCTTGTATTTGGGCTAGATTCATGACTTATTTTCTCTTGTAACATATGCAAACTTAAATTGCCAGATCAAAGACTTCAAGGAGACCTTTGTCACTATTTCTTACTTTATTGGAATTGATCAGCTACCATGAAAGCAGGTATAGGACAGGATGCTGAATGATGAGATGCATGGCTAAGCCATCCTAGATGGACAGCTGAATGCCAGACATTAAGGACATCATCCTAAAAGAGTCAATCTAACACTTATCCCAAAATACCATGAGTAAACCTCCCTGCTTAGAGTAAACTCTCCAGCTGACCTACAGAAAACTGAATAATATTAAACACTTTTTCATTGAAGACATTGGGCCTTGGAATAGGTGGTTACAAAGTGATGATTCATGGATACAATGACTTGTAGATTACTGACTTCAATAAATGGAAAACAATTCAGTATAACATAAAAAATATGAACATTTATTACTTGTGAAACAACTCAGTTTGAATATCTAAGTGGCACTTGAGTGGGAGGTATCCACAAAAAATATTCTCATGTTACCCCCAAATCTTTTCTTTCCTCCAAATTGTATTCCTAATGTATTTGGTTACTGGACCCATACTAAGAAAGTATATTGGTTACCTATTTCTACATTTGCTAGTTTTCCCTATGCAATTATTTACTATAGCCTATGAATTCTCCATTTACATATTGATCAAGCATGTGTCCAACTGTTCACTTACTTAGATATTGCCAAATTCCAAACTACATCATCTCTCTCCTGAATGAATTCCTGGAGCTAACCTACAGGACATTATTCAATTTTTTCCTAAGTGTTAATCTGGATAGTACGATTGTAGGTCATTAATTTTTTTCTTTCTATTTTGACATATTAAAGAATAATAAATAACCACAGTAACACATTGTATGGTATGAGTTATAACCCATTCTTTGGTGCTTGTTGCATAGAGAATAGAGTTCACATGTCTTTGCACATTCAGTATACACTCTTTTCATTTTCATTTTCAGTCTCATCCTAAACTCTGCATGTCCTCTAAATTGTCTTTAGCCCCTTGTTTAAGATGATCCTTGTGCCTTAACTGCCATTTCTCATCCTAATTCTAGGAAATCTTCAGCTCATATTAAAGAAACATAACTTTAAAAACATCATTTCAATGAAGCCTTACCTAATAATTTAGTCTGAAGTCATTTCCTATCTATATGTTCTCATAGCACTTTATGTTGATATTAATATGGTAATTAACTCACTGCAGTTAGTAGTATACAGATTTGTCCACTTCTTGACTTTGAACTCTTTGAAGGCAAATGATTATATGACTGTCATATTTATATCCTTAGATTCTAATAAAGTGATTATCTATATGTCAATAACAACATATTTTATGTACAATGTGTATGACTTTTCTTCATTAAATCTTAGTAAGTGTCTCTACCGAGGATTTCAATAGACAATTCATAAGCAAACTATTTTATTTATAATAGGTGTAATATTCATTATTATATTTTACACGAATAGCAATTTGGATATGGGTATTATCATTCTCAGTTTCTAAGGGAAGAAACTTGGAAAGATAAAGGGAGCTGACTAAAGTCACAAAGGTCTTTAACTCTCCAGCTCCATTATCTTTTTACTTTACKGAAAACCCTTAGATTTAAGAAAACAATTTAATCACAATAGAGCATAAACGAAAATCCCTGAAGTATTCAACTAACTTCAGAGTTCATGCATACTGAAAGGTAAAAACTATGAGTGAATATTTTAAGATGCAATTTCTCAGCACAGGCTTATTAAACTGCTGTGTTTTCCCACATCCAGGTTCGTTGTAATTCTAGTCTTGGTAGCCTGAACAGAAATCACTGTTTGTAAAAGATGTGTGATATGAATAACCATGACAATTGCRAATTATTATATATTTTTCGAAACAGAGAAATGAGTGAAAAACATTTGAGCTTAGATATATAATTCTTATAATGCAACAATAAAATCCCAGGTTGAATTTGGCAGAGAAGTTTTATGAATGACCTTCTTTGCTTCATGGCTGTCATTTTTACTTCCTAGAAAGAATTCCCTTTGCTCTCTGGCACCATATGTGTGTTTCCAGGCTTGAAGAAGTTTGTCTTTCTTTGTCAGTCTACTATGACATTGAAATGTACACAGCAAAAATTTGTCACCTTTGTTGATTCTGCAATACCAGCATTTCCTTTCCTGGCAATGAAAACAAAAATAACTATGAGGCAAATTATATTTATCAATAAAAGCAACAATAGCATTGACAATAAATGGGTAGTAGTAAAATATGGAGATGTGGATGATCTTAAGGATTCTGGTTAGTTCATTGATTTGGAGAGTCATTGGTCTTCTTCCAATCAGGAACTCTTGTCATACAGTGGAGTGCACTACAGCAAGAATTCAAATTTAAAACAATTATGCAAAACTATGCTTAACAATATACAACTCACTGGCTAGAATTACATTCTTACATTCTTCAGAAAGAGCTGATACATAGKAAAGTTAGGCAATATCTTCATCAGGCAAGTCAACTGACAGAGCAAAATTTTGGAATATTTTCTAACTAGTCTGTTACTTATATGAGAATAGTATACATAAGTGTAGGTCTTATGACACCTAAAAAGGGGAGCTCCAAAAGGGTTATCTTAGTGTACTATTAGGATCTCAGCCACTATTTGTCTATTAATGATGTCCACTGTGTACTTTGTTGAAATTTTAGTGATTCACCAGGAATGCTATTATAAGATTCTGTAAGTGTATGAATAAATGACTTGAATTTCTCCTAAGAACATATCTAATGAGAATCCAGTGAACTAGCCTCTGAGGATCTTCTGTAAATATGAAATTGTTAATGAAATGTTTTCCCTAGCATCTTACCTAATTCATTACCTCACAGTCTCATAGAGGAGAGAAAATAAGTTTGCTAAAACGTAGAAATTTTTCAGATTACACAGTTATACATTGGAGTATAAAGTGAAAAGTTCTTGAAAAGCAACTTGAGGCCTGCACTATTTAAATTTCATTTAACTACACTATACCTGTCATTTCCCTTCAGTAATGTTATTGATTCAGGGTGACTGTCTCAGTTGTGGTTCTTTGAAAGTAAGAAACAAAAATAAACATAAGTGATTTAAAGAACAAAAATGGACCGTACATTGTTCACAGGAACAGGGCAGAGTTGAAAACCTAGTCAAGTTGTTGGAAACAAGGATTTTATTTGCCCAGTGTGAGTTATTTGTTCACCCTGAGTGATACTGGCTGGTGGTGCAAGGTATTGGGATTTGTGGTGTTTGGAGTGGCAAGTCAATGCTTGTACCAGTGTAAAGGGGAAAGGGAGTTTAGACAGCTTCCACTAAGGTAATAATAAGGTAAGATAATAAGTGGCTCATTCTGCCAATCTCATGCTCTCCTTTGATTATCAACTCACTTATTTCCCTCATTTACTTGTTATATGTAGTTCTCATAATGAGAAAGAGAATAAACAGTTACTAGCAAATCCCAAAGCACTATCATAAAAACCATATTTTTTCTTTAACATTATTTGCTAATTTAAGAGGAAGAGGAGTCTGGTGAAGCCGGTAAGAAAGTTTTTCACCAGGTCCCCAAGAAAGGGTTTGAGTCAAGAGAAATTAATCATAGTCATAATATCATAATGGTGATAAGACTTCCTTCTTAGTATACTACAGAGAAAAAAATAAAAGAACAATGTCTAAGGAATCAGAAAATGGCTTCTAGTCCTAAATTTCCTATTTTATTTTCATATAAACTTGAGCAAGTCCATTAATTCCTCTAAGCTTTTGTTCTATTAATCTGATAATGAGATTAACAACTTCTGACCTATGCAATAATATTATCAGCAAAAAAATAACTTATGGGAATGTTTTTTGCACATAAAGACTTCAATGAGTATGAGTCATTGAGTTCTGTGTAAGTTAACATTTTTATCTCCTCTAAAATTACCCTCATACTAGATAGTATAAATTGAAACTAAAGGGCATTTTGGAAATATTTTCTAAGCCATTCAGCATTATAATAACAGTCAGATAATTTCTTTACTGAAAGCTTCAAGAGGATAATGGTAACTTCTGAGTTGTTTTTAGCACCAGCTCCATGTCCTGCATAGCCTAGTATTTTTCTGGCCCCAAATCAATTCATGATTGAATAAGTGAAGATTTATTGTTCAAGAAATCTATTCAAAAGATTGTAGCTCAAAGTACATGAATTCACAAGGTCTGTTTCAGGGGAGTACACCACAAACTTTTCAGAACAATTTTTACTAGACTCTATTTTGGTTTTCATGTAATGGAGCATCATGGGAGTTTCAGGTTGGATATTAAGAAGGATTCCATAAAACATGCAGTTCCTTTTTCTGTCCCTTAGAGTAGTGGCACCAATTCACTTCTGTGCACTTTTCATTCATTTGCACAAATGAATCACCATGATGAGATGTCTAGGTATAGGAAAGCAAAACAAGTACTTCATTCACTCATTCTTTTCTGGAGAAAATATAAAGGCAACATGAAGACCCAGAGACTCAGATAGAGATGTTCGATATTTTATTTAGCAATGTAAACAAGATAGTTATTTAGTGAGACTGTGCTAGCGCAAAGTTAAATAAGAAGATTCCTCAGTAAGGGTCAAAACATATGTATGTGTAAGTGTGTTTATTAGTATTTCTTGTAGGTGATCTGAGAATCCAAGAAGCTGATCTTCTCTTCACTCTGTACTGGAAGGAATACTATGAGGACACCTGGCCTGGATCACCATATTTCCATTCAGGTTGTTAACACCATCCTTATATTTCATTTAGAATTAAAAATAAACAACAGACTTTCGAAATGCACTGGCAACTATTTCCATTGCCTTATTAGAACCATGTGACATCCTTCCTTCAGGTCATCAGCTAGAACAGGAAAGGAAAGATGTCTTCATTGAATAAGTGGTAAAAAGAAGTCTTTCTGAGGCAAAATGGTTGGGACTACCAACTGGCATTATGTGCCACTGCCCTTCTATCAGAGCAAGGTGAAACTGGCAGCATAATGGGAGAAAAGGTAAACTAATTGTAAAGAACTCCTTTGGTGTGCAAATAATAAGAACTATGCTATCTTATTTTTTTTTTACAATGTAATTAAATTTCTTCATCAAAGTTATCTCTATATTTCTGTGTAACGGGAAAACAAAAACGAATGGCTGTTATCTATCACTAACTTAAAGAGGTATGTTCAAAGCAATCGCAAACTTCATGTAAACATAGGATGGCAAGTGCTACCCTGAGAAATCTGAAGCAGATGTCCAGAGTGAGAGGGTTGGCAGAGGAACCCAGCCACAACTGACAAGGGTTTCTGGAATATGTATCCGTTCCTTGGGCACCTTCAGAAATACTAGGGAAGGAAATTGGATAAATTTAATTTTTACTTTCATGCTAAAGATATCACCTAAGACCATGGTTACCTAGTTCTTATCACATGTGGGATGACCCTTGATAGATGGATAATAAGGGGTCATGTGGTTACCATAAATAATAAATTGTCCCTTTCCTCCTCCCCTCTTCTCTACTAYATATACTCTTTTAACCCCTGACTTTAACAGAGCATATGAGACTCTGTAACTGAAGATATTCATTATTTATAAACTCAGACATCGAACTAAGGAAAAATCTGTCAAGCATTGGTCTGAGTTAAGAGTTGAATTTTGGATTAATATGTGAAAATCTGTCATGTGTGATGTTTGTGTGAAATAAGAACTATTTGTGTTTTTTAAATGTTTTCTAACCTCTTTTAAAAACAGATCAGCTTATGATTATTTGCCAGTTAAAAAATAATTTCTACTCACTACTCCTATATACAAAATGGTTTTATATATAAATCCTAAGCCTTAATATTTCTATATATTTATATTTTTTCCCTGAGGGAAAAGACATTTTGAAAATAATATTTGATAAGTAAGAAAATACTATTATTCAGAAAAATTTACATATAAAACAAAATTAGCTTTCATAATTTTTGACTTTGGTTAGGAAAAATCAAATGCTATAAGAAACCCAGAAACATCAGAAAGATGTTTTCTTCTCTCTATTTAAAATTAATAGAAGCAATGCATTTAGCACAAAAATGAGTATAGTTCCATAGGAGGCAGTGAAGGGCCTATATAAACTCTGACAATGCAATTGTTTAGTTGGGACTTTAGGGATATTCTTGAACATGCCACATATCAATTTTTTGACAAGACTTGCTTTTATGTATCTGTCTTTGCAGCACATTATTATAAAATCTTATTGGGAATAGCCTCAGAAAGACTAATAACAGAGCTTGTCATCAGATAGATACACAATGTAGCCATTTTCATTTTTTTTTAATTAAAGAAAGAGGTAAGATAGAATCATGAATAGAAGAGACCTCAATTCAGAGATTTCTCCATCCCCCAGAACATGATGCCAGGTTTTGTGGTTTACTTTTCCTCTTTGACTTTGTTTCTTCATCTATTAACTGATTCATAAAGGGACACTTGCTCAAGTGCTATAGGAGTCACACACAATCCAAAGGAGATAATAGATCAGGGTGTTAGACAATTGAGATGGGTGGTTTGTGGAGGAGTAAATAGTTTGTGTTTTTGACAAACTCATTTACTACTTAACTGTAGATTATTATAGAAAGACAGGTCCAGTATTGCAGATTTTGAAATTTATCAAAGCAGCAGCCAATTCTGTTTGTTTTTTTTAGGTGAAATATCTTCATTTTTAAATGTTATAACTCAATCACTTAGAATGCTACATACAAAATATAATCAGTGTCTTCTTTCTGGCTTATAAGTTGTCAGTTATTAACTCCAAGAAAAAAATTTCCACTTGATAAAATATCTTAGTTGGAAGTATAATAAGCATGATCTAACATCTCTCTCACGCTTCAGAAATATGCAAGAATTTTAAGGATACCATTGTATTACAGATTATTAAAAAACTAATTAATCCCCCAAATTCGTTGATAAAATATCATTTATATTTTTAAAAGAATTCTTAACTGTTTGCATATTGAGTACCTGAAGTCATGATTATTTTCATGATTTTCTTTCAATACTTTTCATATAATTGTCATTATAGGAATGTAAGTATCAATACAACTTGAAATATACTAGATATGAGTTGAGCAAGTCACATATTGTTCCATGTTCTATATTTTGCTTTCAGTGAAAAATCTCCTAGGAAAAAAATGCATTATTACCCAAAGTATTGTCCAATATAGCCCACTGACATGTGTGGAGCCTGGTACACCTGCTAATGATGGCAGCTTCTACCAGAGAGTTGGCTTTCAGAATCTTCATTAGGAAAAATGGCTTTTCAAAAGTCTAATTATCATCATTTTGATGGATTATGGTGTTTTTCGAAGAATTACACCAAAATATAGTGTTGTTTATGTGGCAAGATTGAATGGTGACAAAGGCGCCCACATACACATTTGCTGTCAATGATAGACTAAACCTTCCAAACAGTCCATCATGGAGATATCATGTTGGAAAAGGTATTTTCTGTAGCACAGATATAAACATTATCATGGAATCTGGATGAAATAAAATACATTTTTCGGTTTTACTTTTTAATTTACTCCAGAAAGTCATAAATAGAAGTATATTTCAATAGCAGATTTGTTGTTACTGTTGTTTCTAGAAAATATCATTGGCCTTGGAAAGCGACAGTACAAGTAATCGATTGTGCCAGGGATGGTGCCTACACCAAGAAAGGATCTGATTCATCTAATAAAATTCAAAACCAATGAAGAAGGCTTACAAATCAGTTTTTTTAACCTTTTCTTCAGAAACCATTTTATACTCTAGAAGCATTTTCATCCTTCTTGATAACATTGTCACAAAGATACATGCTCATGTGCAGGGTCCCCTCCCTTACCTTAGCACTAAATTAAAACTTTAATTAGAAAATGGTGCAATTTTACTTGAGTTTCATTAATGAATTACTTTCATTTTCCATCTCCCTCCTTTCTCTTTCTTAAATTTATTTTATGTAGATTTTGTACATGGCTACATAAGATTAACTGTATCTATTTTGCTTTCAAATTTTCAAAATCTTCTCTGGACTTTTTTTTTCTATGTCTTTTAAGCTTCTCTACAACTCTTATACTAACTACTTAACATACTTGTTCCTCAAAACTTTCTGGATGTGAACGGGATAGGGGATGGAGAGGGAGAGAGAGAAGGAGAGGGGGCACCTACATAGACAGAGAGGCCAAGGAGAGGACTTCTTAGTCCATTTTTCTTCTTCTTCAATTTTGCCAGTAATATTTTGAGTATATATATTTTATTTCTGTTCTCTGAATGATTTTCATCCTAGAAACTTCTTGCTTTTAGGGATATGCTCTCATCTCTAGTCATTGACAGCATATTCCTAAGTTGAAATTAAGAAACTATTTTATGTTTTCATTTTACAAAATTCCCTGTGTAGTTTACAGTTCCATGTGTTCTGAAAGATGATGGAGTGTATAGCCTACTAGAATTATGATACACCTCTTCCCCAAAGTTCTCTTCGGATGGTTCTTTGTGGTCGATCTCTCCCCACCCTTACCTGCTAAGGATGTTAGATATGGTCTTCGTGCCTAGAGTTTTGCTTTTCTGGAATATAAAAGGAATAAAACAGTTTACAACTGTTTGAGTCTGGTCTCTTCACCCAGCAAAATGTACCTGAGTTTCACCTATGTTACTGCATGTGTCAATTTCTCCAATTGTTATTTTTATTAAAGTTTTTTTCTTTTACCAAACGCATGTTTGATCTCCTTGAGATGAGTTTTGTTTGGGGCCTTTTATTGTGTGATATAGGTTTACATGAATGTCTGGCACTCCTCAGTTGCTGTTTATTTTTATAAATGATAAGCCATGTTGTCCATAAAAGTCATTGGCACAAAGTTCTCTTCCTTGCTGCAGGTCTCTTTTCACAAGCACCTTTCCATAGAAGAGGATTGCCAGTTTTGTGTGGGCAGGTGAGAATACCGGTTGCCAGGTTATTGGGGTAGAATGAGGGATTTGCATGTACTGGGTACAAAGAGGAAGATGAGCCTCATGTCTATTCCAGACCCCAAACAAGGGCTTTTTGCCAATAGCAACAATTAAACCAAAACCCCTAGTTACTCCCTTGGTTGGTATTATAATTTATTTTTACAGCAGGGTTTTGTTTTATTTATTTTTTTCTCTTAAACTAGGAGCAAAGACAAGTGCTGCTTTTCTCCCCTAAACCCCTTTCTCTGTGAGGTTTTTTGTTTGTTTGTTTTGTTTTTAGTTTGTTTGTTTGTTTGTGTKTGTATTTTGTGTTTCTATGTATTGGAAGGAAAAATGTTGTTTCAGGTGAGTTAACTGAGGGGTTGTGAAGACAGCCCTCCCATTTCAAGCTGATGTCTCTACAGATCCACTGAATTGAAGACATTGCTTATTTTACATTGACTTCTAATTTATTCAACAATGTGAATCAATTGGTTTTTGTTTCCAAATTTCATCATAATTTCTGAAACATGCTTGATCTCACTTCTCTGCTCAGTGCATATGAGTAGTCTCTTCTATACCTCATTATCATTCATTCCCTAAGACCTGGAAAGGGAGGGGAGAAAAAATTATGTGCACACCCTCCCATTCTCCACAAGAATCCAGATATTACTGTCATTTGGGAATGGTTGGTCTCATGAAAAATTAGTGGGWCACTGTACTTTAAATTATGGAAGAATGGTTACATTCTTTCCCATAGTATAATGGATCTCCTTTGTTGTTTATCACATCCTAGATCCTATTCCAAGTCCAGATTCAGCTAAAACTTTTCATTTAATGGTGACCTCTTCCAATCTGAAACATCCTTGGATCTAGAAGGAGTAATATCACATTTGGACCCAAAGAGTGGAGATTATCAAAGTGAAGAAATTCACATGCTTTTTCAGACAACTGATCATTTTTAGCCTAGGGAAATTTCATGTGCCCCTCCAGCACAAAGGGTTAAATTTCTGCTTTTTGGTTAACAGTAAAAGAGGATAGTGAAAGGTCAAGCACTACAGGAGGGAATATGTTA